AATGATAGTTAAAAACATGCAAGTAGATAAATAATAAATTCTATTGAAAAATGTGTAGATTTTTAATTTTTTATTATTTAATTATATTAATTTGAGTAACAAATAAAATAAAATACACGTTGAATTTAGAAAAAAATTTGTATTCCAGCGTGCCTAAAAATTATTAACGTAGAACTATTTTTTAATATGAATGTTTGGCACGTGTCCTAAATTTTAACGCCTCAATTTCGTAATCAGATTCAAGCTTTTATGAGATAGCTACAAATTTGTGAAATTTGCCTTTTGCAAAAATTTTAAATGTGGAGGAGGATATGTTCTCTTTTATTTTATTTTCTAACATATAATGAGTATTTTTTGTTTGTTTTGAAACTAAAGAAAAAATAATTTTATTTTTTAAATTTGTGAAATTTTAATAATTGGTAAAAATATTGAGGAGGATACTGTTCTCTTTTATTTATTTTATTTTTGTGGAGGAGGATATGTTCTCTCTTATTTTATTTTCTAACATATAATGAGTATTTTTTTGTTTGTTTTGAAACTAAAGAAAAAAATAATTTTATTTTTTAAATTGTGAAATCTTAATAATCAGTAAAAAGGACAATTTTATATTTTTTGTTATAGAAAAAATTAAATGCAAATTTGTACTATATATATGGTCCGGATGTATATATATACTAGTACAACGCCCGTGTATTACACGGGTGCTTGCTAATTTTTTCTTAAAATCTAAAATTAATAAGAAAAAGTAGTTGAAAATTTAAATATCTTTTATAAATATATATATATATATATATTATATTTAGTATGACACTTTTTATTTGTGCAACTTACATGTGTTATATTATAATAATTTTTTAAACTTACAACATATAACTACATTAAACATAAATATATCAACTGAGAAATAATTTTATTTTTCTTATGAATTTTAATAAATTTATTATTTTTTATTATTATAATGATAAATATAATTTATTTATTTCATATATACAATATGGATGTCAAATCAAATATCATCAAAAGATGATTAATTTGATATATTATATATGTAAAACCGATAACAAATACAAAAGTTATCAACTTTTAAAATACATTTATAATTCAATAGCTAATTGAAGGAACAAATCAAAGGTCAGATAACTTAGTGTCTATGTGTACAAAGAAATAAAGGGTTATATTAGTACAAGTGATATTAAAATACATAACTTAGTTAAATAATATTTATGGAATGTCCAAACATAAATTATTAATTATTAATATATCAATATTATTTGTCCAAACCTAATTACGAAGCATGATTCTTTGCCAAGTAAGATTTCGAAGCACCAAAAGCAGTCATATAGGCTCAACACATTCGAAAATAATATATAGGGAGGATTTGATTTCTACAAGTAAAATTTTATCCAGCGAATATGATTTTTCAGAGAGATGCACCCATAACATGACCAAAATATCCTACATATACTTCTACAATTATCCTAATTACTACACAAAGAAAAAATGAGTATTTTATTTATGTAAATGTTTAAAATTATATAATAAGATAATAATCTATAAAATAACCAATGCTAAAGAAAATATTTTCATGTGGAGTAAAATATAGATTAAATAATGGGATACGAAATATAAATTTCTGCAAATTTTACTCTAGAGGAAATAATGTAGTTGATATAACAGTAGATTTGTTAAATGAAACAAAACGCCGATGAGTATGGTTTAACTCGCTAAGGCTCAAACTATCAAACGAGCCGATCTTCTCGTCTAGTTAACAACTCCAACTTGATTCATCTTGCCAAATTAAGCTCGTTAAAACTTAAAAATAGTGTATTTCACAAAGCTGTTTAATTTTTTTACTTCAGTTGGACCTATAAAGCTTTGGACTTGTTAAATTTCTAATTCAACCTATTAATGATGATAAATGATTGAATTTTAGCTTGTTTATTGTCTCGTTAACTAAGCAACTCAACTGGGTATAAATTTGTGCTATAGTATCAAAAGTTCGAGTTATATTTGACTCGTTTACATATCTACATAATCGATAAAGTGCAAGAACTTGTAGATGAAGATAATCGAGAGATGGACAACAGAAGTATGCTCTACAAAAATATTTGAATTATATATATATCTTTATATTTATATTTACAAAGTTTTAGTTTTTTAACTTTAATAATAATATTTTTTATAAAACCTACAATATACATTCTTTATTAAAATTGATGTTTGTATATTTTGTGTTTTAATTATATGATTAATCATTTTATATAGACAACTTCCATTTTTTCTCCCTATGCTTCTTAGGCTATTCAACCAAAATATTTATGTCTTAATTTTTTTATTTTTTTTTATAGTCACATACTCCTTATCTATAAAATTAAATTAAAATTATTAATAATATGCATAAAGTTTGAGTGTAGTTATTCATACTTAACCTATTATCTTACACAAATTCCTCTGTGAGACAACCTAACAATTAGAATGATTATTTAAAAAAAAATATATATATTTATAATATAAGTGCATACGTTTGTTAATTTTGTCTTTTAAAATATGATATTTTTTAATAAAAATATACACACACATATATATAAAATGTCTACCCAATGATTAGACCCTATTATCATTTATCATATTATTTGTTGGGCAAGCTCAACTAAATTTCTAAGTCCATGAGATCATTAAATGTGATTTTTTTATATATATATATTTGTTTTTGTTTATTATTTTTTTGTTTTCCCAACTAAAAACAGCTTCTACAAGATTTATTCTTACGGGAAATATGCACATCACTGAATTTCAGCCGAAGATAACTTTGATAAAGCTGCCTGTGTTGCTTGTCACATGAGGAAAAAGGCTGTTCATTCTTGATAAGATTCATTTTTGGTTATCTTTTCAATAAATATATATATTTTTTTGCAAATTTTGTTGCAGATTGTTTGGCGACCTTAGCACCTCATGTCTTAATGGGTGCCAAAAGTTTATCGATTCTCCTCTAAAAGTCAAGCCGTGGCTACTACACGACGCCGAAGGCGTCGTTCATCCACGGAACATTACTCTATAGGGGTCTTTAGGCTACGACCTCCATTCAATGTACCAAAAAAATATATATATAATATATATATATATATATATATATTTTCTTCTAAAATGCTTGAATTTTCAAATGAAATTACTTTTCAATCAAAAAATATGCTACTATTGATTATATTTTTTTTTTATTATTATTATTTTTCATTTGGCTTCTCATCGTTTGGTACGCCCAAGTCTATCCTAACGGGGGTACTTTTGTCACTACAGCACATAAAACAAACAACCACGGCAAAACCCATCGTCCAATCAGATACGAGATAGCTGGGGGCGCATCGTGATAGGGTGGACGTCATCTTACTCAACCCACCAAAACGACGCCGTTTCGACTTTCTTCTCCATCATCCCCTGCTAATTAGCAAAAACAACACAGTACTTACTGCGAAAAGAGACACTAATCCCACCCCTCTCTCTCTCTCTCTCTCCCTCTCTCTCTCTCTCTCTCTCTCTCTCTCCCCAAATAAAATAATCAAAAGTACACAAACCACCGCCCTTGTACCCCTTAAATACGCGGCTGCCCCCAAAGGACAAAACCATCTCATCCCCTCGCCGATCTCCGCCGTCCACTATCAAGTCAACTGTTGAATAACCGCCGGAAAGACAGTACTGTGTTGGTTAGATAGCTGAGTAATGTGAGCGCGAACTGGGTTTGATTTCTCGAGGCCGGAGGTTTATTTTTCTTACTTAAAGTTCAGTTCTTTATATTATCAGCTGAGATGGATCGGGCGAGTCAGAGCACGGACATGCCGATCATGCACGACAGCGATCGGTACGACTTCGTGCGGGATATCGGGTCGGGTAACTTCGGCGTAGCTCGATTGATGAGAGACAAGCAAACGAGGGAGCTTGTTGCGGTTAAGTATATTGAGCGAGGGGAAAAGGTTCGTTTGGACGATTACTTACCAAGATTGCATCTTTTTTTTTTCTGCCCGTGTGTCTGCTGATTGTTTTTTCATCTGTTTATTGTGGTTTTG